TTTTGACAAAGCGGCAGGGAATGATCCGATGTCTCCGATCTCCACGAGTTCGCTGGCGGGGAAATCGGGACCCAACGGTCTCACGCTGCTATTGGCCACCACGAGTCGATGGCAAGCCCCGGCAGGTGCCTTTCGATCGCCCTAAGGTGATCCTCCAGGGTGTATCCGTCCGTCTCACCCGGCTGTGTCGCGATGTTGCAGACGTAGACGACGGGCTCACTGCTTTCGATGAGCGCGCGCGCGATGCCGGGTATGAGGAGGTTTGGGATAAGGCTTGTGTACAGACTGCCCGGCCCGATGACCGTAAGTTCGGCATCCCGAATTGCGTCAATGGCGGCGCCGAAGGCTTTCGGGTTTGCGGGAGAAACTTGCACGTCCATTATCCGTTTCGGCGACGCGGCGATATTGGTTTCGCCCAGCACGACCGTGCCGTCGGCCATGTCGGCAGTCAACCGAACGTCCACAGGGTCGACGGCACTATCCGGCCGGTGACTTTCAGGACCCGGCTGGACTCGCTGACCGCCTGCTCGAAATTTCCCGTGACGCCGGACATCGCGGCGATGAAAAGGTTCCCGAATGAGTGTCCTGCGAGGCCGTTGCCTTCCGTGAAGCGGTACTCGAACAACTCCTTCATCAGAGGTTCGGCCTCGAGGGCTAAAGGGGGGGGGGGGGCGTCGCAACTATGCAGTTTCGGATATCACCGGGCGGAGTATGCCCAGTTCATGCCGTAATCTTCCCGAACTGCCGCCGTCGTCGGAGACCGTAACCACGCCCGTGACGTTTGAGGTCCGTTCTTTGATGCCGCGTAGGAACGTCGACAGGCCGGTCCCGCCTCCGATCGCGGCGATCCTTGGCCCTTTGCCCCTCTCGAGGCCTCCGTTCGATACGCCGTTATTCGCCAAAATTCTGTTTACTCATCTGGCTGTAATCATGACGTCCAGTTTCGACTGGAGAATCCCAGCTACGACCTGCGGATCGGCTTTACCGCGGGTGGCCTTCATGACCTGGCCAACAAGGAACCGGACCGCGGTCTTCTTGCCGCCCAGGTAGTCTCGCACCGCGCTGGGGTTGGCCTGGATCACTTCGTCAGCGACGGGATCGAGTTCGGATGTATCACTGACCTGTTGCAATCCCTGTTGTTCGATTACGTCGTCCGCATCGGCGCCACTCCGGTACATCTCGCCAAATACTTGCTTTGCCCCGGCGTTATTCAATTCGCGTCGCCCAAAACGCCCAACGAGGACCGCCAGATTCTCGGGTCTGATCCGCGTATCGAAGACGTTCGTGGTCCCGTCATTGTTCATGTGTCGAGCCATCTCACCGTTGAGCCAGTTTGCCGTTTCCTTCGCGAACGCGCTCATTTCGCCTTTTGCCATTGCCCCCACGGATCGCACCACCTGTTCGAAGTAGTCGGCGGTGGTCCTGGAAGACGTGAGCAGCGCAGCGTCGTATTCCGGCAATCCCCATGATTGTTGGAAGCGATCTTTTCGCAGGGCCGGCAGTTCAGGCAGTTCGGAGCGAATATGGTCCACTAGCGACGCACCTATTCGCAGCGGAGGTAGATCAGGTTCCGGAAAATAACGGTAGTCGTGCGCGTCCTCTTTGGATCTTTGCGACACTGTAACCCCGACTTCGTCGTCCCAGCCGCGGGTTTCTTGCACTACGCGGTTTCCGGCCTTGACGTCCTCGGTCTGCCGGGCGATCTCGTACTCCAACGCGCGGGTGACGGCGCGGATTCGGTTCATGTTCTTGATTTCAACTTTTGCGCCCAACTTTGTTGAACCGGCAGGGCGAATGCTCACGTTGGCGTCGCATCGGAATGAGCCTTCCTCCATGTTTGCGGTACCCACGTCAATGTAGCGGATGATCATCTGCAGGTTGGAGATATACGCCTCGACCTGATCTGTGGTGCGCAAGTCTGGCCGGCTCACCACCTCCATGAGCGGCACACCGGCTCGGTTGACGTCCATCAATGTGTGGCCGGCCTCTCCATCCTGGCCCGGGATGTGTATCAGCCGGGCAACGTCCTCTTCCATATGCACCCGTTCGATCCCGATCCTGGACGACGGGTCGCCCGGCAGGTCCATGTAACCGTCGTAGCAAATCGGGACGTCGTACTGGGATATTTGGTAACCCTTCATGAGATCCGGATAGGCGTAATTTTTCCGGTCGAACTTCGTCGTCTCAGCAACTTTGCAATTGAGAGCCAGGCCGATCTTGATGGCATCTTCGACTGCACGGGAGTTGACCACCGGCAACGTGCCCGGCAGCGCCAGGCAAACAGGGCACACGCGGGTATTGGGCGGCATCAACTGGTAGTCAGCCCCACACGAGCAAAACATCTTGCTGTGAGTGCGTAGCTGCACGTGAACTTCGAGACCGATTACCGTTTCGTACTGCGTGTCCATGGCTCCGCCGGGGAACTGGATAATGACCGTGCCTGCGTTCAATGATTAACTCAGGTCCGAATTGGACTATAACATCGCGTAAATTGTGTTCACGCGCCCGGCCTCTTCGAAAATGAGGTTGAATCGACCTCGTCCAGAGCGGATGTTCGAGGCGACCTTCCGTGCCGGGGGCATGAGGCCGGGGCAGCCGGCCGGACTTAGAAGACACGCGGCAGGTAACAGAATGGCCATACCCAACGTCGACCCGATGATCGTCGCGCCGACCCCCAATCCACTCGTCGGACGACTCAATCGACATGACCGCGCTTGCACGTAACGTGCAACGCTGGCTTCAGACGCCGCTGTCGGGATTCGTCGTCGGCAGCGCGGGAGGTGAAGAAAACTTCCTGGGGGATGCCGAACGAGTGGCGGCCGTCAAGACAGTGGCGGAGGCGCACGAAGGCCAAAGATTCGTTATCGGCGGAATCGACAACCCGTCTACCACCAACACACTACGCCTGGCCGAGTCGATGTGCGCCGCGGGCGCGGACCTGGTGCGGGTGCGGATTCCCGTAGGCGGAGACGTCGTGGCCTACTACCGGGAGGTTGTAGAAAAATCCCCGATCCCCGTAATGGTCATCCACCAGACGTTCGCCAGGCGGCCATTTGCGGCCACACCAGAGCAGATTGGCGACATTTGCTCGATGGATAACGTGTTCGGTTACATCACCGACGCCAATATGCGTCTCGAATCCAGAACCCGCCAGTTCGTGCCGGCTAACAAAAAATTCTGGATATGCAACGGCAGCATACTTCTCCACGGAGCGCTGATCGGGGCCAACGGGGCGTGCATGTTTTTCGGCAATTGGGCCCCTCACCTAGTCAAGGAAATCATGACCCTGGGGATGGCCGGGAAGTTCGAAGAAGCGCGCAAGATTCAAAACCGTATTCTCGACGCCGACTACATCGGCATGACGTACGGGGTCGCCGCGCTCAAGGCGGGACTGAATCTGCTGGGCTATGAAGGAACGCGACCCAGAAGGCCCAACCCTCCGCTCACCGAAAGCCAAACGGAACGATTGGCCGCCGCGTTCAGGAAAGCCGGGATTCTAGATTAACCCGACTGGCGCGCACCGGGTTTCCGTCTTCGCGTGTGGTCGTCAGCGCCGGCGTTGTACCTGCTTATGTCAGCGCCCAGGCGTCGCGGCCGATCAACGGGACAAACATGCATTTGCCGGCCTTCTTCACGCTCAGACCGTCAGATTTACGCGAAACAACGAGCAAGTCCTGATTGGTTCGCCGGCCTACCGGAATGACCATGCGCCCACCGGGGCCGAGTTGGTTGGAAAGCGCGGCCGGCACTTTCGGGGCGGCCGCCGCTACGATAATCCGGTCGTAAGGGGCGGCCGAGCGCCATCCAATTTCGTCGCCGGCCTGTTCTATGCGGCACCTGGCATACCCGAGCAGATGTAACCGGGCCTTCGCCGTTTTCGTGAGTTCGGGAATTCTCTCGACCGATACCACTTGCGACGCGAGAAGTGAAAGGACGGCGGCCTGGTAGCCGGAACCGGCGCCCACTTCGAGGACGCGATGGCTGGGATCGAGCTCAAGCAGATCGACCATACTGGCCACGAGTGAGGGCTGGGAGATGGTTTGCCCCTCGGCAATGGGTAATGCGACGTCCTCGTAGGCCTCCGATCTGAGCGAGTGCGGCACGAACATCTCGCGTGGGACCCTGGACATGGCGTCCACGGTGGCTGCCGACACGCCCCTGCGCACTATTCGATCAAGAAACTCGAGCCGCGATTGCTCCAGGCCGAGTTCCCGGGCGCTGTTCAAGACTTGCGGTGAGGGCACGTTGGCGCTCTTTTCCGTTTCTACGTGCATTTAGCCTGTGCGCCGGTGCACCCGGGATACCTGTTTCGCGCGCACACAAAAGCGGGTTCGCAATTACGAAATTCGTTGACACTCAATCGGGTAGTGGCTAGCATTAAAGCTGACCTTGCAGGTCAACAATACATCGTTGATATTTAAGGCGTCGCCGCACGAGTTTTAACGACGTTCCTGCAAGGTACCGAATCCAGCCGCAGCCGAAGGTTAATCGCTTGACCACCTCGACGAAAACGGTCTCGAGACACTCCGATCTCTCGACTTCAGAGTATCAGGACTACAAATGGGGCTTCGTAACCGACGTCGACACCGACCTTGCCCCGAAAGGTCTGAACGAGGACATCGTCAGGCTGATTTCGGCAAAGAAGCGCGAACCCGAATGGCTTCTGGAATGGCGCCTGCGCGCCCTGCGCTACTGGGAGAACCTCGAACGAAATGAGGGAGACCCCACGTGGGCCAAGATCAGCTACCCGCCGATCGACTACCAGGACAGCTACTACTACGCGGCGCCCCGCGGCCAGGAGGACAGGCCGAAGTCACTTGAAGAGGCTGATCCGGAGATGCTCGAAGCCTTCGAGAAACTCGGCGTGCCGCTTTACGAACGGGAGAAGCTGGCCGGGGTGGCCGTGGACGCCGTTTTTGACAGCGTATCCGTGGCGACTACGTACGAATCTCAACTCAAGGAACTCGGCATAATATTCTGCTCCTTCAATGAAGCAGTGAGAGAGTACCCCGAGCTGGTCGAAAAATACCTCGGCTCGGTCGTTCCCTACACCGATAACTTTTTCGCCTCTCTCAACTCAGCCGCGTTCAGCGACGGCTCATTTGCATACGTGCCACCCGGAGTCCGGTGCCCGATGGAACTCATGACCTACTTCCGCATCAACACGGAAGGCGCGGGTCAGTTCGAGCGCACGCTGATAATCGCGGATGAGGGCGCTTACGTCAGCTACCTCGAGGGTTGCACCGCTCCGATGAGACGAACGACTCAACTCCACGCCGCCGTCGTGGAACTCGTTGCGCTCAAAGACGCCGAGATCAAATATTCGACTATCCAGAACTGGTTCCCCGGAACAAAGGACGGCCAGGGCGGCGTATACAACTTTGTGACCAAACGCGGGTCCTGCGAGGGGGATAACTCAAAGATCTCGTGGACCCAGGTCGAGACGGGCTCAGCCATTACGTGGAAGTACCCCAGCGTGATGCTCAAGGGGGACAACTCGACCGGCGAGTTCTACTCCGTTGCGCTGGCCAACAACTACCAGCAGGCCGACACCGGCACGAAGATGATCCACTTCGGAAAGAACACGAAGAGCACCATCGTGGCAAAGGGGATTTCGGCGGGCCACGGAAGTAACACCTATCGCGGCCAGGTCAAGATAATGCCCGGCGCCGAAAACGCCACGAACCACACCCAGTGCGACTCCCTGCTTATCGGAGACAAGTGCAGCGCGCACACCGTGCCGTACATCGAGGTCAGAAACCCATCCGCGCGGCTGGAGCATGAGGCATCGACGTCGAAGGTAAGCGACGACCAGCTCTTCTACCTGATGTCCCGCGGCATCTCCGAAGAGGACGCACACCACATGATTATCACTGGCTGGAGCAGGGACGTGATCAAGGAGTTGCCGTTCGAGTTTGCCGTTGAGGCCGGGCAACTGCTGAAGGTCAGTCTGGAAGGAGCTGTGGGCTAAAGACCGCACACGGCGGGGCGGACTGGACGCCGACGATCCCGGTTGGGCCTGCAAGGCACGGCCGGAGGTGAATCGGTAACCGCTGACGCCACCTCGCAGGATCGCAAGCGTAGCGACGTGTCACAGGTTTTGACCCCACAGTTGGTCCGTAGAAAAACCCGAAGTTGCTGCAGGCAAAGGAGCCTGTTCCAATTTAATCGAATTGCGAAATCATGCTTAGCATAAGAAATTTGCACGTGTCCGTCGCTGCCGGCGGCGCTGAGATAATCAAGGGCCTGGACCTCGAAGTTAACGCGGGAGAGGTTCACGCCATAATGGGCCCGAACGGCTCCGGCAAGAGCACTCTCGCCAACGTGCTCGCCGGGCGGATCGACTACGCGGTGACGGCCGGCGACATCCTGCTGGACGGTGAAAGCATTGTCCCCATGCTGGTCAGCGACAGGGCGCTCCGCGGCCTGTTTCTCGCATTTCAGTATCCGGCCGAAGTGCCGGGTGTGCGTCCCTGGCAGTTCCTGAAGGCTGCCAAAGATGCGCTCGCCGATTATCGCGGCGATAAGAAACTGAGCGTGCGCGCGTTTTCACGGTTGTTCGACGCGTCTGTCGATCGCGTGAAGATCGATCCCGACCTCGTCAAAAGATCGTTGAATGAAGGGTTTTCGGGCGGAGAGAAGAAGCGCCATGAGATGTTGCAGTTGATGGTCCTGGAACCGCGGCTTGCCATACTGGATGAAACCGACTCCGGGCTCGATGTGGACGCGCTGCGAGTGGTCGCCGCAGGAGTCAACCAGATGCGCCGACCCGACAGGGCGTTCGTCCTGGTTACCCACTATCAACGGATTCTGAATCACATCACACCCGACTTTGTTCACATCCTGATCGACGGCCGGATCGTTCGCTCGGGCGGCGCCGAAATGGCGCACAAAGTCGAAACTACCGGTTACGAATCATTCATGCCCGGATCCGGCGCTGCGTTAGCTGCGGGGGCATTGCCCTTGCAGGGGCGCACCATGGTCGTAGATCAGCAAACCACACACGCGGCTACCCACGGCGACCGGTATCTTGCCGACTATCGGGCGCTGGCCGCTTCCGCATCGCAAAATGGCGCGTCCTGGCTTGCCCCGCTACGGGAGAGGGCTTGGGCCCAGTTCGCCCGAATGGGTTTTCCCGTCGCGCGCCGCGGCAATGAGGAGTGGAAGTACACCAACGTCCGCCCAGTGGATCGGGTTCCGTTCCAGTTCGGCGCAGAGAGCGCCTCATCGGCTGTGACCGCCGGCGAAATCAGGGCTGCTGCGCCGTGGGACGATTCGTGGCACACGTTGCTGTTCGTAGATGGGAGATACGCCGAGTCGCTTTCTTCAGCGCCCGTCGATGGTCTGGACGTAGCCAATTTTTCCGATGCGGTCGGGCCGAACCGCGGCCTGCTGGAAAGTCAGATCGGCCAACTCGCTGCGGTCGAAGACGATGCGTTTGCGGCTCTCAATACCGCGTTCGTGGACCACGGAGCGTTTGTGCACGTGCCGGAAGGAACAGAATTAGACGTTCCGGTACATATTGCTCACGTGAACACGAATGTTGAAGGCGATCGGGCGGCGTACCCGAGGGCGCTGGTGGTCGCCGGCCGCGGGAGCCGACTGACGTTGATAGAGACGTACTCCAGCCTTGGCGAAAAACGCCAGTTCACGGACAGTGTCGTCGAAATGGTCCTGGAAGAAGGCGCTCAGGTCGATCACTACCGGATACTGACCGAGAACGAAAGCACGTTCCACATCGGCGTCACACGGGTCCACCAGTCCTCGGACTCTAATTTCCGGTCCATCTCGTTCGCCACCGGTCCGGCAATCGGGCGGAACGACTTACACGTCCAACTCGACGGGACCGGCGCCGAATGTACGCTTCACGGCCTATACATGACGACCAATCGCCAACACCTGGACAACCACATCAGCACGACTCACGCCAAGCCGAACGGCACTAGTCATCAGTTTTACAAAGGCATCCTCGCCGGCAGATCACGTGCGGTGTTCAGCGGCAAGGTGCTTGTCGAGCGAGACGCCCAGAAGTCGTACGCAGATCAAAAAGACCTGAACTTGCTACTTTCCAGGCGCGCCGAGATCGACACAATGCCCAGCCTTGAGATCTATGCCGACGACGTGAAGTGTTTCCACGGGGCAACCGCCGGTCACGTGGACGAAAACGCGTTGTTCTACATGGAGTCGCGCGGCGTGGACCGTGACACGGCTGCTGCGATGCTCATCAGGGGATTTGCGTCCGAGATCGTTGAAGAGTTCAGGCCACAGGCGTTGCGGGAATACGTGGAACGGGCTACAGACCGGCTGCTGCCAGGGTTTTCCGCGGGCCTGCGTTAAGTCGCGGGCGAATCAGGCACGACTTTGCTGGACGTAGAACTCATACGGCAGGACTTCCCCATACTCAAGCGGGAGGTCAACGGACACCCGCTTGTCTATCTGGACAACGCGGCCACTACCCAGAAGCCCCGGCAGGTAATCAATGCGCTCGTGGATTTCTATGAGCAAAACAACGCCAATGTCCATCGCGGCGTCCACACGCTGAGCATCGAGTCGACCGACATGTACGAGCTTGCGAGGACAAAGGTGCAGCGGTTCATCAATGCCCCTTGTCCGGAGTCGGTTATCTGGACGAGGAACACCAGCGAGTCGATCAACCTGGTGGCTCACACCTGGGGGCGCGCCAACCTGAAGCCCGGCGACAACATCGTCACGACTGCTATGGAGCACCATTCCAACATCGTGCCGTGGCAACAGCTTACGCAGCAGACCGGCGCGGAACTCCGTTTTATCCCGGTCGGCGATGACGGCTACCTACAAATGGAAGTCGCCCAGGGCCTCATCGACGACCGAACCAAGATCGTGGCCGCGGTCCACGCGTCTAACGTTCTCGGCGTAATCAACCCGGTGTCCGAACTGACGGCCCTGGCCCGCTCGGTAGGCGCGGTGATGTTGGTGGACGCGGCCCAGTCAGTGCCGCACATGCCCATCGACGTGCAGTCGCTCGACTGCGACTTCCTGGCATTCTCCGCGCACAAGATGCTTGGCCCAACCGGCATCGGCGTGCTTTATGGCCGCCCGGAGCTGCTGGAGTCGATGCCGCCGTTTCTCTACGGCGGGGACATGATCATCGAGGTTACCTACGAGGACGCACGCTGGAATGACTTGCCGTACAAGTTCGAGGCTGGGACACCCAATATCGCCGACGCCGTCGCCACCGGCGCGGCGGTCGACTACCTGACCGATCTCGGGATGGAGCGGATCGCCGCACACGAACGGGACTTGACGGCATACGCGCTGGAACGAATGGCCGAAATTGAGACCGTAAAGATTCTTGGCCCGACCGACCCTTCAGCGAGAGGGGCCGTCATTTCGTTCGTGCACGACACACTGCATCCGCATGATCTGGGCACAGCGTTGGACAGCATGGGGATAGCCATCCGCACCGGCCACCACTGCGCCATGCCGCTGGGGTACGCAGCTACGGGGTGGTAGCCGCGGCGCGAGCCAGCTTTTACATCTACAACACGGAGCAGGAGGTGGACCTCTTCGTGGACGGCATCAAGGAAGCGGAGGGGTACTTCTCACATGCGGGGGTTAGGTGAACTCTACGAAGAGATAATCCTCGACCATTACCGCAACCCGAGGAACAACGAGGAGTTAGACAACCCCGACGCGGAGATCGAGGCCAACAATCCTTTCTGCGGCGATGAGGTGAAGATTCAACTCAGATTCCAGGACGGCCGGATAGACGAAATCGGTGTCACCGGCCGCGGATGCGCCATCAGCAAGTCGTCAGCCTCGCTACTGTCGGAGTTGGCGGAGGGGCGTACGCAAGATGAACTGTCGCGCACGACTAAACCTCGTCCGGCGCATGATGAGGGACGAGAATCTAACCGAGGACGAACTTGACGACCTGGGCGACCTTGAGGCCCTTCGCGGCGTACGAAAGTACCCTGTGCGGATCAAGTGCGCCCTGTTGTCCTGGGCTGCCCTTCAGGACGCTTTGGAGTCTTATCAGCAGAAGCTATCGGCGGAAGCCTGAACGCTGTGCAGGCGTGTATTGGGACCGCATTACGGCTGTCGGCTTAACCACACCTTGGTGAAGAAGAAGTTCTCGCCCCGCGCCATGTTCGGCGCGAATCCTTCCACGTAGTCCCACCACATCCAGTTTTCCGCGCGGGCTGCCAGGTTGATCCGATATGCGCCTGCAAGAATGATCCGCTGGATTTCCAGCACCTGTGCTTTGCGGCGCGATTCGTCGAGTTCGACCGCCTGCGATTCGATAAGTTCATCTAGTTCAGATATCTCGTGGTTGGTCGTATTCACCCCGCCGCGGGAATGGTGAACGGCCAGGAGAGCGCCCGTGAGGCTGGATATTGGCGGCAATGCGCCGAGCGCCATCTGGTAATCCCCTCCGACCCAGACGCGGTCGGCGTACTCCCTGGTCGAAATCTCTTCGACTGTCGTCCGGAGTCCCAGTTCACTCATTGACGTTGCGATGAATTCGGCCTGGGCCGGAAAACTTGCGTCGAACTGACCCACCGTGAGCCTGACCACGCCAGGAGCTTCACCCAGGACCTCCCGCGCCGCGCCCCGTTTGGCAAACGCGCCGCGAATGTCGTCCAGGGTCAACAGCCAGTCTGGCTCAGGCACGCGCAGACCCATCGTTGGCATCGACTGTCCATTCCAGAACGTCTGGTTCAGCGTCCAGGGGTTGATGGCGTGCAGGACCGCCGTTCGAACTTCCTGCGAATCGAATGGCTCCCAGGTCGTATTCATGATCAGTTCGGCGCCCGCTCCGGGGTCGACGAAGGCGGCCGATTCGATCCCGGGAAACGCGCTCTTTGCATCGATAACGCTCTGGTAGGATGACCGGTCGAAATCCAACTGGCCGTTGCGCAGGGCAGCGGCCCGGATTTCCGGAGTATTGACGATCTGTACGTCCAGGCCGTCGAGATATGGGAACCCGTTTTCGTAGTAGTCCGGATTGGCCTCATATTCGGCGCCGTCGTTGCCTATACGCGCCGCCAGCCACGGCCCGGTTCCGACCGTAGGGGCCGCGTAGCAGGTCCCCGGTTGCTGCGACGGCCTCGGGCGCGATTATTCGGCTGTGCCCGTCGGCCAGTCCATGGAGGAACTCCGCTTCCGGTTGGCGGAAGCGGATCAGCACGGTCCTGTCGTCCATGGCTTCCACGTGCGCAACATTTGCTAGCACGGGCGCGTTTGGCCATCCATCGGTCATCTGGCGTTCGTAGCTGAATACCACGTCGTCAGCTGTAAGCCGTCGGCCGTCTACCGGCTCAAGTGAGTGCCAACGAATGTTTGCTCGCAGCTTCACTTCGAGGCTGACCGGGTCCAGCAGGCGCCACGAAGCGCACAGGTCGCACTCTACGATGGTGTTCGGCGAAGGCGCCTCTACTCCGGTGGTAAATCTGAAGAGTCGGCTGTAGGCGAGGGCCGGACCCCAGGTCAACAGCGCCGGCGACTGGGTCTGGTGAACATCCAGGTGGGGCGGTAGTTCCGGCACGGCAAACCGTACGACACCCCCCCGAACCAACCCGTCCGGGGCAGAAGGCGAGGCGGCGGCGCCCGACGAGATTGGGGTGGGTTCCGCAGTCGCGGTCGCTGAACGAGCCGGTGTAGACGTAGGGGAGGGGGTCGCAGGTAGCAACGGCGGCGGTTGGTATGGACGTTGCGATCACAGTCGGCGTGGGTTCGACTCGCGTGTCCGTCGGCGATGCCTCGGTTGGAGTTTCCGGCGCCGGATCGCCGGAACAGGCAACCATTGCAAATGCGAAGGCGAATAAACAGATAGAGGCGAGCCTGGACACGTCCTTTAGTGGCCGCACCGCCGTTGGATCGCTATCGGAATGGGTCGTCCGGTGGGGGCGGGCCCGAATCAAGCTCTGGCGCTCATTTCTGAGCGAAACCAGTCGACGGTCTGGCGCAGGCCGTCGTTCAGGCTTGTGGTCGGCGACCATCCGAGATCCTTTTTTGCAAGGGAGGCGTCCAGACTGATCCGCCGCAAGTCTCCCGGTCTTGGGGGTAAGCGCTCAGGCTCGCCACTGTACCCGGTGAGCCCGGCCAGTCTTGACGCAATGTCGTTTACGGACGTACCGAAACCCGATCCGATATTGTAAGGACCGGTGCCCGGGCAGTTGGACGCCCGAATCAGGGCGTCCACGACATCTTCCACGTATACGTAGTCCCGTTCGTCTGTGCCGTCCCCGAATATCCGGACAGGCTGACCGGCGAGCATGGCACGGGTGAAAATCGCCACGACTCCGGCTTCACCGTGCGGGTCCTGTCGAGGCCCATAGACGTTTGCCGGCCGGATGATCGAATAGTCAATTCCGCGTAGCATCTTATAAACAGGCAGGTAGTTTTCCACGGCCAGTTTGGATGCGCCATAAGGCGCCGCCGGGCGTGCAGGAAGAGTTTCCGGCGCCGGCAGCGTCTCCGGTTCCCCGTACATCGCTCCACCGGTCGAAACGAACACCATTTTCGGAGCGCCCGCGGCGTTCATGGCGTCGAGAATATTCAGCGATCCCAGAATGTTGGTCTCGGCGTCGAACTTTGGCTCCCTCGCCGAGACAGAGACGCTGATCTGGGCCGCGACGTGAAACACCACGTCGGGCCTGACGGCCTTCATGACGTTGCTTACATCGTCGTCCCCGATGTCCATCCCGTAGAGTTCAGCGGCGGGATTCAGATACCCGGACTTTCCGGTCGACATGTCGTCGATCACGGCGACACTGTCGCCGCGGGCGACCAGCGCGTCGACAAGATGCGACCCGATGAATCCTGCTCCGCCTGTTACGAGGGCGGTGCGTTGGTTGTTCGCCATTACTCCTGGCATACGGACTTTCAAATGGGGCCAGTGGGCTCGTAAGGACACGGTTGCGACGGATGCGCCTGAGCACGCGCCGCGGTCATTGGATTGCAGCTTTAGTTTATCCCGGCAGGTATTTCAGACGACTGGCCCAGCACCGACTTTTCGCAGACCCCGTTTGGTGGCGTTGGTGTTAACGCGGTTCGGTTGGGCGCTCGTGTCGCTGGCTGCGATGCTAAGGCTGAAGATTCAAGAAATGATGAATAAATCGTGGACGTCACTCGACCGTGGGGGAAGGCGGGTTTGAAACCCGCCGCTACGATAATGTACGGAGGCTTGAGAGAAATGACAGTCAAGGGGATGGGAATACGTTCATTCCACTACGAACAGGCCTTGGTCGCGCCATCCCTCGTCGGTACGTTAGGCGCTCGCGGCGTTAGAATTCACGTGGCTGCGATTGTCGCAATGGCACGCCGTGATCTGAAAGGCAAGACCCTTGACCGAACTCCGACTTGTTGTTTCCCGCCATTCGGCTTTTTACAGTCCGTTTATCTCCACGATTGCGGGAGGATTCCTGGAAAAAGAAGGGCTCTCCGGCACCTACGCCGTTGCGCCGGCGGGCAGTACCTCTCCCTCGGAAGTGGCGACAGGCAGGGCGGACGTGGGCCAGGCCGCGGTTTCTGCGTCATGGGGTCCGCTCGACCGGGGTGAAATACCGCCGGTGAGCCAGTTCGCCCAGATCAACCGGTACGACGGCTTCTTGATAGCAGCAAGAGAACCCGATCCCGACTTCTCGTGGGAAAAACTCCTGTCCGGACGCGTGATGTACGTGCACGGGGCGCAGCCGGAAGCGATGCTTCGATACGGCTTGTTCAGGATGGGCGTGAATCTTGACGAGGTGGACGGCATTAACAAGCCGACCACTCCAGAAATGATGGACTCGTTCAGGGGAGGGGAGGGCGACTATTTTCACGAGCAGGGCGCCTATCCCCAACAGCTTGAGCACGAGGGAGTGGCCAGCATCGTTGCCAGCGTGGGCGAGGCCGTCGGTCCCGTCGCTTTCAGCAGCCTGGTAGCGCGCCACGAGTGGCTCGAACGGACGATGCCAAGCGGTTTACGGCGGCGTATCGCGCCTCCCGGGAGTGGGTGAACACGGCAGACCCCGCCGAAGTGGCGAGGGCCGAAGCGAGCTCTTTCCGACATGGCGACGGAGGCGGTCGCCGAGGCGGTCAAGTACTACCAGGACCTTGGCGCATGGTCTGGCGGTATCGCCATCGAGCCGGAACTGTACGAGTCGGCTCTGGACGTTTTCGAGCACGCCGGTCTAGTGGGCTCCAGGCACCCGTACGACAAGGTCGTAGTGCCTCCGCCTCCGCCTGAGCGCCGTTCGCCGGCGCTAATACCAGCGTGCGAATTCGGCCGGGGAGCGTCGTTCGATGTGCGGAACTGTCTTTGGGTATCCGACGTACAGCGCCCCGACGATTGTCCAGTCCGGGTCTGCTCCGAGGACATCAGCAAGCCGTTCAGGTTTGGTCGGTTTTCCCGTGGACCAACCGACTGCACACCGTGGGCGTATGCGGCAAGTTGCATGTTCTGGACGGCGCAGCAGGTAGCGGCGTAGTTCTCCGTGGTCACCTCTTCGGTGGGACCGGGTATCGAGTACATGTAGATGAACGACGGCGCGTCGAGGATCTCCTGTCGAGCGGCCTCAGCGCTGTTTCCCTGCGGCCCGGCGCGGGGTTCTTTATGCTGTCGTAAGTCCACTGGGCGACGAGATCGGCGATCTCATTGCGCTTGGCGCTTCCCCGGTCGAGGACGAATATCCGCCACGGTTCTGTGTCCTGTGGTTCGGCGCCCATCTCGCGACATCCACCATGTCCTCGAGCACGTGTCGAGGGACATCGCGATCTTCATAGTCCCTGCTGGTCCGCCTCAGGCGCAGGGCCTGAAGAATTGTCGCTGCCTCTCCAGCCGATTCCCATCTTTTGACTCCCTGTTGGTGTTGGAACTAGTGGCCCGCGACCTTTTCCAGGAACCCGGCCGCACCTTTTGCGATCCAGCTCTGATAGGCGATTCCTATGCAGCGGACCCCGAGGTCGAGGTGGGGTATTGGGCGGTGCGGTCACGTTTCGTCGGTGACAGGTTCGGCGGTGCGGCCGCTCTTCACGATCTTTGTTATTGCCCGCTGATCGCATCTTGCACATCCGGGTGACCGACGTCTCCCGTGTGACCCATGCTGGCGGCGAGGTCTGAGGGCGCCACATAAAACACGTCCACGCCGTCGACCTCGATCAACGCTTCGATGTTCTGTACAGCGGCGTAGTCTTCGATCAGGGCCGTGCAGGTGACCTCTTCGTTGGCTCGCCTGAAGAAGTCATCCACCCCATAAGAGCGGCGGCTTCCAGCTACGCCGCGCACCCCGTCCGGCGGGTATCGGCACGCTGCGGCGGCGTGTCTGGCGTCGTCGGGGGTGATTATGTGAGGGACAACCACGCCGCTTGCCCCCTGATCGAGAGTCGGAGGATCTGCGCCTCGTCGAGTTTGTTAACTCTGACGATAGTCGACATGCCCCACAGCTCGACGCGCGGGTGATGTCGGCGAGTTCTCGCCACGACACACCGCCATGCTCAAAGTCGACAAACGCGGCGTCGAATCCGAACTGGCCGATGTAGTCGCACATCTCGGATGTGTTCGGACCGTTGGCGAGCACGCCTACGCCGCCATCGGCGATCTTCTTTCTCAACGTATTGACTGCAAAATCGGGCACTTGGGAATTGCCTCCAGGCTGATGCTCAATTGGGAGCCGAGTCTAGCACGGAGAGGCCGCCCCGCATAAACTCAATTGATTGCGGCGACCGGAGAACCCACGCCGGCACGCAACCCCATTGAAAACCAATTATCAAGGGTAAATTTCATTGCGCACACGCAAATTAGGCAAAGACGGCCCGGATGTTCCCGTTATCTGCTTCGGCGCCTGGCCGATCGGCGGAGGGATGGGTGAGGTCGATGAACGTCAGGCCATCGCCGCAACGCACGCCGCCATCGATTCCGGCGTAACGTTCATCGATACCGCTGAGGGTTATCGAACGAGCGAAGACGTGTTGGGTCGGGCGTTGGAAGGACGACGGGACGACGTGTTCCTCGCCACGAAACTTTCCGGTGACCACTCCGTCGAGCACATTCGTAAAGCCCTGACCAACAGCCTGAAAGGCCCTTCGTACCGACTACGTCGATCTGTACCAGATCCACGGCCCGAAACCGGAGTGGCCTATCGAGGACACAATGGCGGAACTGGTCAGATTCCGTGACGAGGGCAAAATCCGCTACCTTGGGGTGTCTAATTTTTCGGCGGAACAGACCGAAGCGGCATCGGCGCACGGGTTGATTCACAGCTCGCAGCCGCGCTACAACATGATTCAGCGGGATGCTGAGGAGTCGGTTTGCTTACTGTCTCAAGAGCAGGAATAGGAGTCATCGCGCATTCACCGCTGGCCAAAGGTCTTCTCACCGGAAAATACAGCGCCGGGCATGAATTCCCGGAGGGCGATGAGCGTCACGACCACCCGTACTACGGTGGGTCGGTGATGAGTACGGCCTTCGCAGTGGCGGACCGGCTCCGTAATTGGGCATCCGATCACGGCCGAAGTCTCGCCGATCTTGCGATTGCCTGGACCCTGGGGCACCCGGCCGTCACTTCGAGTATCGTCGGGGCCAAAACGCCCGAGCAGGCCCGTATGAACGCCGCGGCCGGGGACTGGGAACTCGATCAAAACGACATGTCCGAAATCGATCGCTGATTCAGGCTACCGGCGGCTGATTTGTCGAGATATACGCGGCTCCGGAAGAGGCCGACTGTGGAGGGGAGACGGGCCGTCATAGAGGCCTTGCGGGCGGGTCGCGAAATCGAGCAGATCCTGATGCAGGACGACGCAGACCTGGGTCCCCAACTACGGGAGATCGTATTCCTCGCCAACGGCGCCGGCATCACGGTCAACGGCGTTTCACGTCACGATCTGGATCGTCAGTCCGCCACCAGGAAGCATCAGGGCGTGATAGCGCTGGTTCGCGATACCCGCTACGTGCAGATAGAGGACCTGGTATTCGCGGCCGATGGTCTCAACGAACCGCCTCTGCTGGTGGTCCTCGACGGTGTTCAGGACCCGCACAACCTGGGCGCGATCGCTCGCACCGTGGATGCCGCGGGGGGACATGGAATCATCATTCCCGAACGGCGAGCGGCCGGGGTTACTGCGGGGGCCATACGCGCGTCGGCAGGGGCGTTGGAGCACGTGCGCGTGGCGCGGGTAACAAAACGTGCAAAGAGCGCTGAATACCTGAAGACGATCGGACTGAACCTCATCGGGCTGATCAGGACGCGCCGGGCCACTATGCCGAACCCGACTACACTGTGCCCACGGTGATCGTGGTCGGCTCGGAAGAACGCGGCATTGCGCCCGGAGTAAAGTCGGCTTGCCATTCACTCATCTCCATTCCCTGCGCGGAAACATGGCATCTCTCAACGCCTCCGTGGCGGCGGCCATCGTCCTATACGAGGCGGTAAGGCAACGGTCGGCAGCCGGCAACGCGCCGCAGAAAGCGAACCTTCGTGATCCCGAATAACGGGTCGTTGCGCAACAGGTTTCGCGATGCGATTGGCGAGGGTCAAGTTGAGCCTGAGCGGCTCCCTGGAGTTGCCTGACAAAGCAACGTCCGCCAGCGACAACTACAAGTGGAAAGCATTCACTGTTGTAGCTATCGCGTTGTTCACGATGGTGATGGACGCCTCCGTCACCGGCATCGCCTTGCCTTCGATCTCCGCCGACTTTTCGTTGAGTTTGCGCGTCGTGTCCTGGGTGGCGATTGCAGGGTCGCTGACTATAAGCGCGGCCCTTTTGCCGCTCGGCAGACTTGCCGACATAGCGGGCCGCAAGTCAGTGCACCTGGTCGGCATCACGCTGTTCGCCGCCGGGGCGATCTTCGCTGCAGTGTCTCCCGATCTGCCGACATTGCTCGCAGCCAGGGTGGTCATGTCGCTAGGGGCGGCAATGGACCAGGCGTTAGTCATGGCGATCGTCGTATCGGTTTTCCCTGCCCACGAACGGGGCAAAGGACTGGGCATGATCACTATGGCCGTGGGAGTTGGCGCAATCGCCGGGCCGATCCTCGGAGGGCCGTTGGTGGACCTTTTCGGGTGGCGATCGGTCTATTGGTTCCTGTCGATCCCTACGATCCTGTCGTTCCCGCTTGCCGCGATAATCCTCAAAGACGACCGGATCGGCACAATCAGAGGCCGAATCAGAACCCCATACGACTGGATCGGGGCCCTTAGCTCTGCGGGCGCGTTGGGGCTCGCCATTCTCACGGTTACGAACCCGTTCAACCTGGCTTGGACATCCCTGGGTGTCGTTGGGACGGGGCTGGGCGCAGCGGCGCTGGGCGTTGTGTTTGTCCTCTGGGAACTTCGCGTCGCCAACCCGATGTTGGAACTGCGTCTGTTCAAGATTCCGCAGTTCTCGTGGAGCACCATCTCGAGGTTCCTGGGATTCTTTGGGACCTCCGCGGCCTGGTTCCTGTTTCCTTTCTACATTCAGGACGCACTGGGGTACTCGGCCGCCACCGCAGGGTTGGTTATCTTTGTCGGCGCGCTCGGTATGTCCGTAACGGGCGCGTTTAGCGGTCGGCTGTCAGACAGGTTTGGGGTAAAGATATTCGGCCTCGTTGGCCTCGGAATGACCACTACTATCGGGGTCGTATTCGCAACATTTAATTGGAAACACCGCTATGGGTTGTGATGCCCGCCTTGGCGTTAAACGGAATCGGCTCCGGCTTGTGGATGGCCCCGAACATGAGCGCGACGCTGGGCGCGGTCGATCATGGCAACTACGGAATCGTCAGCGCATTCCTCAACCTGGTACGGAATGTCGCGACCGTCGGCGGCATAGCGGTTACGACGACTGTCGTTGCGGCGGTCATGCTGAGCCGCGGGGTCGAACCCGAGTTGGGCGCCATGGCATCGACGTCAGGCGACGGCACAGCCTTGGCGTTCGTTGCGGGAATGCGTCTGGCCTTCCTCGTGCTTGCCCGGATTTAGCGCAGTTGCGTGGTTAGCCTCGCTCATGACTCGGGACATCGGCATCCGGTCGAATTGATGGGCGGCCGAAACCCGCGGATTTGAATTCCGCTGTCTCGTTGCCATGCCCCGGCCGCCTGCGCGTTGACCGTGTCCGCGGGTAATATCATGATCAGCCGACACCCTGACCGGAAACGGTCCTGTCGTGCGAGGTAGTGGAGCGAGACAACGCATCTAATCAACACTGATGTGAAACCGTTCTACTGCCGACAGTATTCGACGGCTTTCGGGTCATATTCAGATCAACACGAATCACACAGGAACGAATGACATGGGACAACTAGAAGGAAAAGCGGCGATTGTTACGGGTGGCGGTACGGGAATCGGCAAGGGCATCGCCCGCATATTTGCGCAGGAAGGGTGCGACGTAGTCATCGCGTCCCGGAATGCCGAGCGGCTCGATGAGGCCGCAGAGGAACTGTCCGAACACGGCACGCGGATCATACCCGTGCCCACCGACGTTACCAGCGAGGACGATGTCAAGAATCTCTTTGCCAAGTCGATGGATGCCCTGGGGCCGCCTCGACATCCTCGTAAACAACTCGGGCGCGTTCGACGGCGGACGCGTCGATCAGGTTTCCGCCGAGGCGTGGAATCGCGTAATCGATACCAACGTCACCGGTCCGTTCTGTGCACGAAGGAGGCGTTCGCCATCATGAAGGATGCCGGCGGCGGACGGATCATCAACATCGGAAGCATCTCCGCACAACGAACGCGACTTCACTCGGCTCCCTATGCGACGAGCAAGAACGCCATCTGGGGCCTGACCCAAAGTACAGCGCTCGATGGCCGGGAGTTCGGTATTTCTGCGAGCTGCCTCCATCCGGGGAACACGGAGGTGGAACGCCGCGGGCCGGGGACAGTTTCGTCGACGGGCGTAAACGAAGATGGTGAACCGATGATTTCTACCGAGAGCATGGCGCGCACCGTTCTCCTGATGGTCACCTTGCCGCCGGAAGCAAACATGCTCGAGGCCATCGTACTGCCGGTAACGCAGAAGTACATCGGCAGGGGATAACAGCGACATCATCGACCACGGGTGTACGCCGGCGACGCGGCGCGATGGCCGGGCGGATGCACGGTATACTGCCGCCGACGCCTCGCCGGAAACCACAGACTGAACTAAAACAAACTCGCGTTAGGGAATGGAGTCGACATGGAAATCCTGATGGTCCGCATCAAGGTCAAGTCCGAACACCTCGATGAATTCATAGTGGAGATGATCGGCGACGCGGAGGGTTCGGTGATGAACGAACCGGGATGCCGCAGGTTCGACATCGTCCAGGATATGGACGACCCGACCATGCTCGCCCTGTGCGAGGTCTATACGACAACGACGCTATCGACGACCACCGCTCAAGGCCGCATTACGCCAGATGGCGGGATACCACGGGCGATTGGCACGCCGAGCCGGTCCAGGTCTCCAAGTGCAAGCCGGTGTTCCCGATTGGCGACGCGCAGTGGGACTCCCACAGGGCGGACGCGGTGCAAGACCCCGCATTCGAACGCGGCCTCCACATAATCCACGCGCCGCTCCCGATCAAACCCGAACGGGTCGATGACTTCATAGAGTCGCTCAAGGGCGATGCGATCGGTTCGACCCGGGAAGAGCCTGGGTGCCTGAGGTTCGACGTCTACCAGAACGTCGATAATCCGGCCGAGCTCTACCTATACGAGGTGTACGTAAACCAGGCCGCGTTCGACTATCACGCGAAGACGCCCCACATCCAGGAGTGGCGCAAGACCGTGGAAAACTGGTACGCAGGCGAGCGAGCCGGCGGCCGACGCGGGCTGAACATCTGGCCGCCGGACAACTGGAACTGGAGCTCCGGCAAGCCCAGCCACTAGTTTAGGCCGGGCGCCACGGGGTG